CATGGTAAGGAAAAGTAGCATCAATTAATGAATGAAGACTATGAGTGACTTGCCAAATCTAACATAATCTGCTGTTCTCCACTCTCCCTGATCACATCCATGATGAGTATGACACACATCTTGCCTCCTTGTTGCAAGATACAGCAGAAGACACTCCCCCTTCATGCTCTCTTCCAACAGAGCCTCATTCATGAACTTTTGACTTGCTTCACTGAGAGGACAGTTAGGGGGGGAAAGTTGTGATCCCCTATGCTCCTGTCACCCCACAGACCCCCAAAGCTTGACCCCTGTTGACATCTGACTCACCCTGTCTGCTTTTGGATGTACATATTGGCATCAGATAAGTGCTGCCTCTCTGTCATCCCACTTTGGCCCAGAAATGATCTCTTTGAGATGTGACATGCACGGCCTCCCCCTAATGCAATTCCAGTGTGCTTTCCCAGTTCCTGACATTACTTGACTCATACTTTGACATTCTGACTGTCTTTGACTCACCTATTGCCAATACTTACCAATCTTTTGACCTTGATTACTGATTCTTTGCTTTTTGGCTTACTTATCCTTACCAATACTTACCAATGCTTTCTAAGACAATTACCCATTGCTTACATTCCTTACTTATCACTTACTAATCACTTACCAAGTGTTTGCACCTTGTTTTCCATAGGCAGCACCCCTGTACTGTATATAAATCACTGTACTTAGATAGCTGAATAAGAAGAAGATGTCAGAGAGCCCCTCTTGCTTGCATTTTATCATCACTCAGTAAATCATTCATCAGCTTTGATAGTTGAGACTTTATTAAGGGTCTAACTATTGTCTACTTCACTTATCATCATCTATCATCAATATCTGGAATGGGTGCATGTACTTACCAGGCCATCCATAGGGAATCATTACAACTGGGTGGGACCAGCTTTGTGGAGGATGTTTGCTTGCATTGGAGGTGTGAGGTTTCTTTTGCAGGCAGGTTGTCATGTAGTCCATGTCATTGTCATCATTAGCATCTTCATCATCAGGGTGCAGGCTGCTGCAAGACCTTTTCTTGGTTCATGCACAGGAGGGATTCCATTGTGAGGGAGTGACAGGTGTTTTGTCTCTAGGAAGACAAGGAGTTGCAAACATGCACCAGATCTTGCATTTTTTGCATTGCTGACATGCACCTATTGGTTTCCAAATGCAGGGCACATTGGCATTGATACACTTGTCACAATGATTTTCACCAGGAGCTGCAGTTGGCCCAGATGGGTCTGTTGCTGGATGGACCTGATTGCAAGTTTGACTCCTGCCTTGCCCTGTTGATTGAGGTGTTGGATGGCTAGATGTACCTGGCCTGTCCATATCCATGTCCTCCTCCTGATGCTGATGCTGATCCAACTCATCAACTTCCTCCTGCTTGACTAACTTAGGTTTTGGTGTCCAAGACAGGTGAGTGGGCTGGCATGAGCCAGAAGTGGCTACTTTTCATGTCAATGGTTGTCCCTGAGCAGGCTCATATTGAATGGTATCCCCTCCTATCTCTGCATCCTCATCTGCCAGTTCATCCTCCCCATCATCATCTCCAATCATCACCTTCACTTCAGCATCCAACACCTTTTCTTTGCCTTTATGACTCATGACCTTCAGTAGTGTTTCTGACAATGGTTCTGCAGTAGGTGGGAAGGCAGATGTCTTGAAGCTGGTGCACTGCAAGTCAAAGCGCCTTTTGACCATCTGCAGCCATGGATGGTTGTCAAAGGTGGCCTTGTCTGGGTGTGTGATTAGTCTCCACTTCAGAAATGGGAGACCCTCATTCTCCCATCCAACCCTCTCATGCCATTTGCAGAACCTTTTGGCTGCAATGACAGTGAGGGGGATCTCATGCATCATCCTTGCAATTTTGCACACAGAATCCTATATTCCTCAGAGGTGCAACATGTGGGATGATATTTGGACTTACCACTACTTCCACTACCCGTCTCACAGCCTCCTTCCAAGCTGCAAACCTTGGCTTGCCAGCCAAGTCCTTAGTTCCATGGACTTGCTGATTGATGATTTTGATGATGGACTTCACTGTGGCTGTGAGCTCATCATGTTTGGTGTAGATCTTCATTGCACTGTTGAGACAGATGCAGGTAAGGTTGAAGTTGTTGGTGTGAGGTACTTTGTGGGAAATAATGCCAATGGAAGATGTGACATGTAACTTCCACACATGTACTTTGTGCTTGTTGTTCCCTGAAACCTTCCCATGGAGTATCTATATCAACATGTAATACCCCATTTGCTACAATGTGGAAAGGATAGATTGCAGTACAATCATATTACCACTTACTTAATAGTAATTGCAATAGATTGGTGAAAGCATCAGGACTTACAGACTGGTCTCAAAGTTGCAGAATCAATTCATTATGCCATCCATCCCATGCATGGGATGTGACCTCTGACAGAACACATGGAATACTGCCTATGATTGCTCAGAGCCATGAGAATATCTTCTGCATCAATGTGACCTATTTTACAGCCCAATACATTTGATCCCACTTTATTATCAACATTGTGGGACATGACTTCTCTCCAAGAACAGACGCTCCGCTGTCACGCCCCGGCACCTGCTGGTGGGCCACCCCACCTCGTGACCTGGCCGTGACGTGAACCGTCGTGGTGGCAGTGGCAGGGCCGTCTTTTCTCCGCATGTGACCTGGCCATGTGCCTGGGCTCGGCTTACTATTATGGTAATCGCCTGTCTGTGCATGCATGTCGCTCGCCTGCCTGCACTTATCGCGCCTGCCTCTGCCTCTCTCTCTCTCTCTCTCTCTCTCTCTCTCAGTCGAACAGAGTGCTGATTGATTGTTTATTACATACTTTTTGCGTCCGATTTCGTTAATTCATTCATTTCCCTGCCAGCTGTCACTTGCCATCGCACCATCCTCCCACTGGGAAACGATCGCAACAGATGCTGGACCCCCCCTCCTTGCTGATTTGCTGCCCATGGACCAGGTGATAACAGCCACTCCTTCGACAGTCCCCTCCTTGCCATCGAGCTCCTCCAGCGTCACCCTCCCTGAGTTGCCTGCACTCGGCATTGTCCTCAGCATCTCTGTCTTCGTCTCCCTCGTTATTTGCTACAAAGGTTACAGCCAATTCTTACCGGACTTCTCCCCCATCATCCTGAAGATCTGTGTGTGGATCTGCCCTCCCTGGAAAGGCCTATACGATCCCTCTGCACAGGAGTCGTTTTTTTGTGTCGAAGCTGAACAGCTTGACTGTCAAGCAGTGGCAATGGTCAGCTGCTCTACTGAGGCTCGATCCGCTGCTGAACTCAAGTTGGCAACCATGTGGGACACCTCTGAAGCTCAATCCACTGCTGAACTCAGGTCAGTAGCTGCATGTGACACCATTTTCATCCCTCTCATCCTGACGATCTGTCCCAGTGCAAGAGCAGCTAACACATCTGTTGACGGCCATGGACCCTGCTCACTGCAGAGTTGCAAGGGTGTGCTCCCGTTCCCTACATGCCAGTTCAGCTGCAACAGGCAGCCCAAGGTCGAACATATTAACATGTGAGTCAACCTCGAAGGACAGTCGACACCGTTCACTGAACTGATCGTTGGCTGTGGTGCCCTGGGTTTACCATGCAGCAATGTCATGACCGCTAAGGAACTCAAGGTCCTCTGTCGAAAGCTTGGCCTGAGCCAGACCGGTACCAAACAAGTCCTTCTCGAGAGGCTGGAGGCATTCAGCCAGGATCACGATGCCTGGCAGCGGTGAGTCACAGCTTACCTCGTCCTTGGTCTCTCACCAGGTGCTGAGTTGTTCCAATGCAGAGTCCTTCCAGGCGCACGAAGATCTCACAAAGGCCCTCAAAATCATCATGCTCAAGATACAGGTAGCGGGAAGGGCAAGAGAGGCCCTGCAAAGTGGTCAGCAAAACGTCAGGCACTGCTGCTGGGTGGCAGTAGCAGTGATGCTGCAGTCCCGTCTGCTACTGAAAGGTCGAAAGACACCTGAACACAGGCAGAAAAGGCAGCTGTCCTTGACTGGGTCAGTTGCAGCTTCATTTCCATTCGCCGAGTTCAGGATCACTCATGCTGGCACTGTGTCCTTGCAGGCACGAATGACTCTCACTCTATATCCTTACCAGCCTCCCCTGGCTGTTGCAGTAACAACAGGTCACAGTGGCGGGCCACTAGGTGCGCTGTCAGGTATGAGCCTTGCATGGGCCCCTGCAAGTCAATCACCTGGTCTCCCCTCCCCATCTGCCAATGCTCGCTGTCCCTCACTGGCGAGTGGGGACACCTCTCCTACCGTCATGGCTACCGATCCATCTTCTGTCGTTCGCACACTAACACTTGGTGATGGGACTGTTCTCGCCTTCACACTCGCTGACATTGGTGACCCCACAGCTGTGGGATTCAGCAAGGACATCCCAAGGCTCAATTCCATGTGGGACGACACTTCCCCTCACTGGACTGGCCAGTCCACCCTTACCATCAAGGGCCATCCAATTGTGATCAAATACTGGCCCGAGGTGTACCATTATGCACACAACCGACAATGGAAAGGGATCAAACACAACTGGACATGCTGGAAGGCAAGTATACATACTCGCTCTTGGTCGAAAGTGGGCCTATCTAATCCTGAGTTCACAGTACATTGTAGAGTGCTACCATCAAGGCACCCCGGATGAGTTTTGGTGCAGGTTTAGTGAGAACAGGAGGCCGATGAGTTACACTCGTATTCTTGTCCTCCTTTGTGAGGCTCGGAAGAAAGAAGATCAGGAAGCTGTGTGGAAAGTGGCAGAAGAATTTGGCAAATCTTTTGATACGCAGTGCACGTACAGAAAAGGCAGCAACATCCATGTCCTGACCCAGCCTTGGGCTATTGCAAAACAGCTGCACAGGCTGAGTGATGGGCATGGCAGGGATGAGGGCGGTTCTATTTAGCTGCATATTATCTAGCATACATAACTCTGTGGTACGAGACATAGATTGTGTGTTGTATCATGCATTTCGTGTCTGTTTTTATTCTGAATCTGTGAGCTCAATGACACCCAAGTCAAATGTGTGGCCACCACTGCTACTATTCTTCCTCTCAGTCTCGGAATTGCTATCTGTAAGTTCAATGATCTCTCTTTCAGTCTCGGAATCGCTGTCTGTGAGTTCAATCATCTCCTTGCCATGACTCGGCCTTTGGTGTGCAGAATGGCTTGGTTCCTCAGTGTCATGCTTCGTCAGCCCAGTTGCAAGCAAACCTGGGAGTGCAAACCTGACCACCGGATCTGGCATCCAGACCCGGTGAGTGCTCAGTGCTGGGTGAGTGCTGGGTGTGGAATCTGCAAATAATCCAGCCTGGGGAACACCATCTGGCATGCTCAGTACTCGAGCAACACTGCATTTTGCAGGGAGTGCTAATGGCGTGGTGTCGATCTCCAAGCAGTGCTGTACCAGTACCTGTCCTGAGGCAGCATCTTTGCATTGTGAGCGAATACAGAGAACTGAATCGAGCATGAAGCCCTGCTGCACTGGACATGACTTGGAAGAAGACTCAGATGGACCCTGGGGGCATATGTTACCTAGAGTGTCCGAGTCTGCTCTGTCCATCTGTAGATCACAATTTAGCAATTTAGCATTAATGGTGAGATGACAATTAATGGCAGCCTTCAAATTCATACTATGACATGGTATAACCTACTCACACCACATAGATTGCGAATACAAACTCCCTCATAGACCAGGTTCTTCAGCTTTCCGAGTGTACCAGAAGATTCAATGGCATGGACTGGGATGGGTGGTCCACCTCTAGACCACCCAAAGCGGAACTCGCACAGGAAAGCCAGTCGTTCCAGGTCAATTCCTTGCAGCTTTCTGAGCAGCATTGACAAGGCTTGAGGAGGCCCAGGATCGGCACACGTGAATGTGATCGAGGGCTTAACATATGCCAGGACAACAGCAGGGGAGGGAAAGTCAGTTGGAAAGGTGGCAGAAAGTTTCTTACAGCCCATCTCGGTGAGGAGATCACAGACGTGCTTGACCCAAGGTCCAAGGAATGTGGTAAGATCATCCTCATTCACAGTAGTGGTCACCGCATGTAGCAGCTCATCTCCAACACCATGTTGAGCAAGCGCACGAGTTGTCTTCCATCCACAACATGAGAGGCCATTCTATCATGTGACCAATGTGAGTTGCACAGCGCCTGTCAGTAGCCAGTGGGCAAGCATGAACTTATGTTGTAATCTCCACCACAGAAGAGGGCCATTAGCAGTAGCCTGCCCTTTGTCAATGCAACAGTGGACTCTTGTGCCAAACCATTAGCGGAATACATTAGAATGGACTTGTTGTTGTCATTGTCACTGTTAACACACCAATGTAATAAGTTAGTTCGAAGGAGCTCAGCATGATCTGGTCACCTGCCTTCGGAACACAGTTAGAGCACCAAATACCAACGCATCACTATCCTCAGTCCAGACAGCATCAATAACCCCTAGCTGATTGAGGGCAGCTAGCTCTGCCTCTGCCTCGCCTGCTGCCTAGAGAATAAATTTGTAGAAATGACAATGACACTGGCAGTCACTGGTCTGATAGGTTCAACCTCACCTCATGTGTCCGAAATCCGAAAGCACTAGCAAAGTCCTTGAAGTACGTTGTAAGCCATGGTGGAATAGTGACAACCTTCTTGCCCCGCTTGATTGCTGGCTTTTGCAGGCCATCGAAGACAAAGAGGATGTCAGCTGGGGTGCGATACAGGTGTGCTAACTTGTAAAAGAGCGTCCTCAACTCCGGGTTCTGCCCACACTGTGCATCTCCATGTCGAAACGAGTGCTGGCAACTGGCCATCCATAAGCTTTCAGAGTTGGACCGACCGGGTAAAAATACTTAAGTCCAAGACTAGCAGATTATATCAGAGCACCTGGGAACATACCTGGCATCAACACCAATCCTGAACAGATGCTCAGAGCATTTTGTGCCATCCAGATTAAACATGTGGTTGACCATGAGCTCTTGCAGAGAATATTTCTTTGCTGCTGGAGTGACTGCCTACCAAAGCCAAATTTGTGTGTAAAGTAGTACAAATATTCAGCCTCCAGACTTACCTGCCAAAGGCCTGTAACACCCATTATTGTTAAATCCTGTATGATGATGGCAGTGGTCGCAGTGATGACACGCCTGTGAGCCCCTATTGCACTTTTGAGTCTGCTATGTGACCAGTATAGTATGTAGTATGCGGCAAGCTGAAACACAAGTAATAGTTAATATAGGCTCCTCGAGTTGTAAGCTTTCCCGTTATCCTCTTTGCCACGTTTGACAATTAGTTAGAGAGCCCTTTTGATTTCTTCATATTGTACATAGGAGGAGAGTAGAGGGTATAGATATGGAGATACCGTGTCCATTAAATAGCATACCCTGCAAGACCAGGGAGGGAACAATGACATATATAATACATTTGCAGCTGTCATCGAGACAGATGGAAAGAGATCTAATATTGACAAAATGAATGTGGAGAGCTAGACATTATTTACCAGACAGCAGGTGATGCAAAGGTCAACATCTTCGCCTTTGACAACAAGGTGTGTACATGCTCCATTGGGGAGTACCCTGGCAAAGACGATGCGGACATGATTTTGGCTGACAGCTCTTCAATGCCGATGGGCATAGGTGGTGGTGCGGAGGAAGCAGGGGAGGTGGACAACGTAGATTAAGAGAGGGACACCTCTGGGATATTGGGACAGTGGAATGCGAAGGTGGCAGGACGTACACAGACCGTGGAGGATGGATGGCAGGGGGCATGACAGTCGAGAGGCGCAAAAGGGTTTGCTGATGAAGGGGGTGTTGATTTCTTCATCGATGGCAAGATGCAAGCTGGAAAAGGGCCCATCCCTGCGAAATCTTTCGATATCATACTCTCAAACTCACTTAGCATCGAGGGATCCACATTCAGCTCCCACTGTGTTGTCACAAATAACTTTGCTCGTGAGCATAAACACAGAAATGAAAAGTTGGAAGGCAGACAAGCCATGGGCGGTGGGGAATCGCACCTTTAGTCTTTGAAGACTAGCGCAGCAAACATGATGGATGGATGGAGCTTGGTGTGGTGGAGAGCATAAGTGATGATACCTGCAAAATTGTCCAAGAATGTCCCACCCACAAAGTGGGTGAGAGGTGGAATGCCAGAACGGGCAGGATATGGATACGATGCATGTAACGTCACCAGATACCAGCACGGGGAGAAGGACAGACCACTGAGTGACGAGGGCTGGAGGAATCGATACAAGAATCCCGAAGCTGGTGGGGGACTCCTATACAGACCCAAGTTACATGCCAAATTGCCTCATAGCCATTCCAGTCACAAAAAATGGGCATATCTTGAGGACTACTGCGCAGAACTGGGTGAATGAGGTATCTCCAAATAGGGTTCAGCGAGCGGAATGAACGGACCATAAAGCGAGAGGAATGGCGAGGAGATGGACAAGATATGATGACAAGACCTCGAGGGTGTCCCTTCTCACGAAAATGCAAACAACTCGGGAACTGCTTGGCCAATTCAAATGAACCAGGTACCGACATGGAGCTGTCATTAAGGAGTATCATTCCCCCACAAAACGAGAGACGCTAGTCAAGCACAAGCACAAGATCATCCACAGTGTGGGCATTTGAGTGCAGGACGGCGATTTGGGTTGAAAAAATCTTCGCGGGCCTCCATCACATCATCGTTGACTGAGATGAGGTACTTAACTATCGTGAGGTTAGTGAATTCTTGACTCCAACCTCCCCATTCACAAATTTTCCTCAGAGGCCATCGTCGTTCGATGTGGAGGTACTGGCAGCCTCCCCGCCGAAAAGAGTGGGTGCCATAAGCTGCAGGATCAATGTTGAGGTCCAACAAGTTGTTTTGGAACATTTCCAGGAACTGTTCAGACGACTTTCGAACCAGATACCATATCAGCCAGCTGATTGGCTTGGCAAGCCTGAGGTGCAGAACTCTATCTCACCATTGGTACATTGGCTTCTGCAACACGGTCACCAGAAGCAATTTTACGGAAGAGGTAACCGGACGTGATGTTGGACGCTATGATCCACTCAGATATGGCCCTTACAGCGCAGAGGTGAGCTTCCGATTGATGGAACGCCCACAGGAAATATGGTTTGATGTCTGCTGGTGCAATCAGTCCAAGATAACCTCGCCATGCTGTCAGCATGGCTCGCACACACTCACCTCCGGTTTGGTGAGTTTTACGGAAAGGGAGGGTAATGGACATGCCAGTTGTGGTGCCAGCAGCATCATACATGAAATTGATGTCGTGGACTTGAATCTTCAAAACTTCATCAAATCGGAGAAGGCAGATGAACGCAATTGTATAGGCAGCTTGTAAGAGACGACAGGCCCAAGCACCACCCCAGTCTGCCAACCTGTCATCTTGACCATGATGGTTGGGGTCACAAGGTCGACGAGTGCCAGGCTGGTATGGATGGATGGTCCAATTGTTGGGTAGATGGTTGAAATGATAGAGTTGTGAGAGTATCTCCTGTGGGAATGAGTAGTGAGCTTCCCAGAACCATTGCACCAGTGGTATCAACATAACTGATGTGATTGCATGTGCACTGATGGCAACTTTGCCAGCTTGGACCTGCAAAGTGTAAGGGAGGGGTATTGGTGAGACCATTCACCACCCATATATAGCCCAGATGAAGACACATACCTTGCGGTGCCGTAAGGCACACATGTAAGATGACACCTGTACTGACATACTTGGGTTCCCCAGCATGGTGGAATTCCCCAGTACCTCTGACTGATGCCAGGGCATATCACCGAGCCCATGTAACCACCCAAAGGCATAGGTCATCGCTGCCCTCATCTTCTGTGCATGGCCATAAGTGCCTCGTTCCTCAGATGGCGGTTTACTCGTGCCCTTCAGTGTAATTGAATCACACCTGCCAGAGTCAACATCATTTTCATCAGTTTTGAGGCAGTGGTAATAAACAGGAGAGATGGGGGATACGCATTCATAATCCAGGCGATGATGAATGTCGGCGCATCACAATGGGGTTGGTTGGAATAGAACGACTCATCACCTCGCAACCATCCCATGCCCATGAGGAATCTCTGACACTGCTGCATGAGGCTATGGGGATTAAGTTGTTTGAGTAATCTTGTTTTGCAAAGCAAACAGGACAAACAGACCATTTATATTCTGCATCCATTCCCTCTGTCACCCCCTTTGATGCATCTAGTAGCATGGCTTGAAATGCAGAGAATTCGTTGTTGGTGTCGACGCTGCCACAGATGGGACCAGGTAGAGTTTGTTGTTCGGAGGTCATGTCGTACGAAACATCAAGGAGTTCGAGGGGCGATGCCTCGGACGGAGATACAGCATGACACAGTCCAGGATAGCTATCGAAGGCTCGCTCGGATATGTTGGTTTGTTGGAGGAAATGGGGAAAGCTGCGAGAGTTGATGGCCTCCTATATACACAGTGAATTTCCAATCATCATTAGTCATAGCTAGACAAGCCGGTAACACGAACACAGACAGTAACCAAAACAGTGTCTTGTACGACACCAAATGGCACTCAGAACCCACCCAGGACCATATTTTTTTCCAGCAGGGACCGTAGTTTGATTCCTCCAGGACCGTATTTTTTCCATGAAGCACTGAGACTCCTCGAAGGAACACCCTGAGTTGGCAGGGAAAGCATGACCACCGCAACCCACCCACTGGACCATTCTTTCATGAAAAAAGACGTTCCAATCCTGCGACGTGACAGCTGAGCATAGTGCATACTCACCACAAATGGCTGATGTAAAGCCAAGTCGTATGACACATCACCGGCTTCGACACCTAACATTGAAGCATAAGATATAACACGCAGCGTATGCTGGCTTCATGAGAGGTCGATCGAGGGGCTTATAAGCGAGGACCACTCACGACCATCTGTTTAACCTCTGTCCGTCGACCCTACCCCCTACCTCTCACCTCACACTCCAAATACTTGCTCCGTCGCGATCTCACCAGTGTCTTCACTGCGATGGCACCCTCGGTCTCTTCACTGCCGGTCCCCATCTCTGTCTTGGTGAGTACTTTGATCTGGCCTTGCCGATGGACTCGATGGTGTTGCTGTACACCGAGGACTCCATCCACGGTGTTAGGGAGGGCATCGCCAGTCAGCGAAACTCCTCACTGTTACTCGCATCGCTTGCAGATGCCATCGATCGGAGGCCTGGATGGAAGGGCTCAGGGAGGGGCTGAGGGAACAGGCAATCCGATTGCCCGCAGGGAGTCTGTGTGTCGGCACGCCTGCACACGATGGCCGTTTAGGTCACTGGGGTGACAGCCCGCTCGTTCCCACCATACCCATTTCAGATCTGTCACGCTGTGATGGGGTCCTGACTCAGCTGTGACTGCACCGTCTGTTTTCGCGGTCACAGCTTCACTTCTGGGAAGCGTGCAACTAGAGGAAAGCTGAAGGGAGAATTCCCTAGGATTGACCCAAGGGGTGCTGCATGGAAGGAGAAGCCAAGGATTACCCTAGAAGGGGTGGGGTAATATAGTAGATGAGAGTAAAATGGGACAAAGGTAAGGGGTATCTTCTGACAGAATGAGGTTACATGTACAAGTGAAAGGTGGAGTCAGTGGGAGGGGGAAGCACAAGAGGTCAGAGCATACTGGCATGAAGTCTGGCTTGCAGAATTTGGGGTGACAGAGGTAACCAGAGTTTTTTGTAAAGGTGACTGACATGGGTGAGTGGTGATGTGGCTGGGGGTGGCTCAGCTACTGAATTCTGGATGACTCTGGGTGAATGTGGAATTTCTGGTGTAGGGAATGTAATTTCCCTACCAGGGGAATTGCCTTATTTTGCTCATTTTACTTCATTTTCATTCTAGATACTTTTTTCTATGAGTTGCACTTAGATTTCGCTTTTTTTATTGCTTAGTCAGCAGTAGTGCTACTTGTGTATGGTTTTTTCCTTTAGAAACAATAGATGAGTTACCACAGATGAGAGATGAAATCAAGCAGGTCATTTCCCTGCACCCAGACAGCCATAGAAGCCCTCAGACAACCCTTCCATCCAGTCCCAGGCTATAGAAGCCCCTTTTGGCCTACTCTCTCCCATCAGATTTCACCCTTCCCCTCAACCTTGCTCTTAAATCCCTTTTCCTACAACAGATCAGCTCATTGATGGCTGGGTGACATGCTGAAGGTTGGGAGAAACTCTGAAGGTGACAGGGGTTGGGAGGCAACACAAGGTTATGAGTGGGAAGAACTCTGAAAGCATCCAAAGGCCTAGAGCAACAGGGGTTTGTCACAGAGGCCAGCAGAATTTAGTGACAGACTCCTGTTCCAGCCTTAGGGAGTATATGGCTCCCTAGGATCAGCTCATTGATGGCTGGGCAACATGCTGAAGGTTGGGAGAAACTCTGAAGGTGACAGGGGTTGGGAGGCAACACAAGGTTATGAGTGGGAAGAACTCTGAAAGCATCCAAAGGCCTAGAGCAACAGGGGTTTGTCACAGAGGCCAACAGAATTTAGTGACAGACTCCTGTTCCAGCCTCAGGGAGTATATGGCTCCCTGGGATCAGCTCATTGATGGCTGGACAACATGCTGAAGGTTGGGAGAAACTCCAAAGGTGACAGGGGTTGGGAGGCAACACAAGGTTATGAGTGGGAAGAACTCCAAAAGTGTCTGAAGGCCTAGAGTGACAGGGGTTTGTTGCAGAGGCCAGCAGAATTTAGTGACAGACTCCCATTCCAGCCTCAGGGAGTATATGGCTCCCTACAATGTAGCTATGGGTCCATCTGTATTTGTTGATCTGCCTGATCATCCCATCATCAGACCCATCCATTTGATCCAAACTGGTTCATGCCATGTTGACAGCCCCATCAATATGATGCATCATAATACCTCAATATGGCTGATGGGCCTGTTTTTATACATTAATCAGCCCAACCACACTGTCAATGGCTCCATTTATTTGATCCAATGTTATCTACAACATATATACCAGCCCATCCATATGTGGTGATCACACAGACGACACCATAGATGGGCCCATTCAGGTAATGCGATATCATTCATGCCTTAGTGACAGGCCTGTCTATATGATGTGTCATAATGCATGCATATGATGGATGGGCCCATTTGTATGTGTTGCTATGCCTGATCATACACTCAACAGGCCCATCCATTTGATGCGACATTATCCTTGCCTTAGTAACAGGCCCATTCATATAATGTGTCATAATACATGGATATGACAGACAGGCCTGTGTGTATGTGTTGCTATGCCTGATCATACCTATGATGGTCCTGTTCATTCTATGTGACCTTATCTACCACCTGGTGATGGCCCCATCCTTATGCATTGCCTACCTGATGATCCAATGATACTATCAACAGGCCCATCCTTATGTGTTGATCTGCCAGATCATACCATCACCAGGCCTTTTCATTTGATTCAATGCCATCCACAATATGATGATGGGCCTGTAGCTATCTCTTCATCTGCCCAATCATACTCTCAACTATCCCATCCATTTGATTCCACATTATCTATTTCATGGTGACAGGCCCATCTATATCATGCACCATAATCCATAATATGTCTGTCTATCTGATGCAGCATCATCAGCAATATCATGCACAGGCCCATCCATTTGATGTAACACTGTCTGCAATATGCTGGACAGGCTGGTATATATGTTGTGATCTGGCCAATCAAACCATCAACAGGCCCATCTATTTGTTCCCATGTCATTTGTGACAGGCCCATCAATTTGTTGTGATGCTGCATCCCCCAAATGTCAGAAGGGCCTGCACATAGTTATGACAGCTCTGTCATGGGCCTGCTCTTATGTTGCCATCACTCCAGGTCCTCAGGCCTGTTTATGTGTCACAGCTTAATTAATTTGACAGGCCCACACTGGGCTTTATATGAGTAATGTTAATTTGGCATGCAGGCTACCCATATGTTGTGACTAAGCATGACTACACTATGTGCACAATTGTGGATGCAGACAAGTGGAAGATGCTTGGAGAGGATATCTGCAACCATTCTGTTGAGTTGTGTGCAGAGGATGTTCTTATGCTTTTCAATGACACTTCTGGATTAGACTGAAGGGAGAAACCCTGTACTACTACTAGAGTTGTTTGAGACATACATATGTAACCCTATGATATGTACTGTGATGTTATGGAACCACTTGCACATGTTTCATTGGGCTATATTTCCAGTGAAGAATGGACAAGGAACTACTGCTCAGCTTGATTGTTGCCAGCATGTCAGCCAGTGGCTTTGCTTAGAGTGGACCAACCACTGAAAGCACCATATTTATTTCATAACAAACAAGAATGAGGGACCAGTTACTACCATAAGTTTCTTGGGTCGGGATGATCAGTGTGGCAAAAATGGAGCTAGTCAGTGAGCATGGACCTAGGTGTGGAAAAATTAGTAATTGTCACAGATGAATCTTGAGAAATTAACAATGTTAGGTGTCAATGTGCAATATATCAAGATGTACCCTGGAACCTGTCAGTGTGTTGTGTCTGTGGTAGAAAGTTCATATTGCTTCTTGATTGGCATGTTTAAATCTTAGCAGCTGGGGTGAGAGTGGGGTGTTCCAAATTTGTCTGCTCTTCTAGCACATCCTAGGGCAAGGGCAGAAATGATGGACAACTCAGCAAGAAATTTCAAGGAGACCAAGACAAGACTGAAGTGAACCAGGACTCTTATGACTGTATTGCAACATCTAATAGTAGGCCGAATTTGTTCCCAGGGTTCACAGCCTTTCAGGTCCCTGCATAGAGCACAACTAGCATCCTCCTTGTTTGCAAGTGTCAAGCTCAGCCATGAAGATAAGTCAAACTGGGAACATCAGTGCATCAAATTCTCTCCATCTAAATTTGACCACATTCATTTGTTATGTATTATGTAAAGGTGTGGCAAGTACTGCACAGGCTCTGATGTCAATTAGCAAAGCTGCAACATCAAATATCAATCTTCACAAAGCTAACTCACAGTCTAGAGACCAAAGGGGTCATGAACAATGTTTCATTGAACCTGACTCCCTCCAAGGGTTTTCACATAGAGATACAATGTCAGTCAAGATACATATCTGTGCTGGCTTAGAGTCCATGACATTTAAATGCTGCCTCCATTGGGAGTGTCTCTGAAAATGAGAGTAGAATTTGGTACGTCGCGGCTGCAAGGTTGTGGTTGTCAGTGGTTGAGGAGCCTGCATGTGCGATAGTGGGAAAAACACGAATGCGTAACGAAATGCACCCAAAATGGTCTGAGTGTGACAGCGTGACACCAGTAGATGG